TGTACAAATATAATTGAACTTTTTATCATTAGTTTATTCAAATAGAGCAAAGATTTCTGGACAAAATGAGACGTCTCCGAGCTCTCTAAGAACTTTTTTCATGAAACAGCATTGAATTTACGGAAGGTCCCAAGAGCATATTTTTCTTGTTTGACCATTAATTGTCCCGATTTTGGTGGTAAATTGAATGCTATTTCATGCGAAAAGCTCTTCGCGGGCTCGGAGACGTCTCATTTCGCCCAGAAATCTTTGCTCTATTCGAATAAACTGATGGTAAAAAGTTCAATTATATTTGTACACAAGAAAGTCAATAAATACACAGGGGGTAAGTTTTTTTGGATCACCCTGTATATATCTCAAGTTCATAAAAATTGCTGATTGTCATGTAAATAAAGAGCTATAATTTTTGCACTTCATTTTTTTTGCGTTTGTTGTACAAGTGCTAGAAAAAACAATTATTATGTCAATGTTTAACTTAAGGTCATATTGAAGTTAGATCAAAATTATGATGAGTACATCGACACTTTAGATTTTAAATAAAACGATCTCATGGTCTGCGACGGATTTGATTGATTTGTGCAGCAGATTAGATTTAAAAACTTTAATCAAGTAACAAAAATAACCGATTTAACACAAGAATGAACTTAAACAATTATTTTGATCGTTTCATCGTATACGAAAGAAAAGCACGATAAAGTATTCGAATAAAGATTAGTAGATTGCATAAAGACAATAATAGAAGTCTACAAGCACTGTGAAATGTATAGAATTTTTTTATTTTATTTTATATTCAATACGGTTGATACCACTAGTACAATTTGTTCTCTGACATCAGTGTATGACAAAGAATAAGATGACTGCTTTTTATAATAATTATAGTCTTACTTTTGTAGATAAACATTCATATTCTTTTTAAAACTGATTATGTCTGCATCATTAGCCACAAGAGTTTATCAACGAGGTGATGTTCGCTGGAATGCGAAAGGTTATTATGAACGATACGATGGACGAAAATATTGGCGAAAATTATGTATAGTTGAAAATTGTTCGAAACGTGCGAAAACATTATCATGGTGCAAACGACATTATACTGAAGAAAAACAAAAACAAGAAAGAGGTGAAAGTGATCCAAATCTATGTTTAGAACCACAACGTCGTCAATCAAAACATAACTATCAACGATATGATATTCGAATTAATAAAAAAGGTATTCGTGAACAATTCGATGGTAAAGATCATTGGCGAGGATTATGTTTAATACCAACATGTACAAAACGAGCAAAAAAATTAGCATTTTGTAAACGTCATTTTACTGAACAAATTAAACAAGAAACAAATTAATAACGAAATCAAATCTCGACCTTCAGATATAAAATTGTTCTCAGGTTTATGGATGTAGTTCAGTTTGTATAATGCATTTTTTTGTACGATATTAGCTTGTAGACATTAAGGTATATGTTTTTTTGTTCAACTTTTTTACGATTCGTTTGAGAAACGTATTCAATTTTTTGTTGTTTGTAGTTGTAGTTTTTTTAAAAATTTTTCTGTTATTCTTTTTAAAAGAATTTGTGAATTTTTATTATATTTCTTAGAATTTTTATTTAATCAAATTTTGTTATAAATGTAACAGCCTATCACATTTGTGTTTCACATTTGAAAGAATAGTTGATGGATTTTTTCGTTATATTTAGCCCGTTTCCATAGAGATTTGAAGAAATTAGTTCCCGTTCTCCGCACTAATATTTTGTTTATCGTCGCAAAGAAGTCATTTCGCGTACAAAAGATAAAAATCTTCCCTTCATATGTATAATGAGAAGCGATTGACTGTAAATCTTCTGCTTTCAGACTTGTAGATTGATAAGTCAACTTTTTTTCCTCAGTCATAGGATGAACGCCAATGGATACACGAATATTATGATTTTTACAGTTATACGCATTAGTTATCGAAATTTGTTACAGGAGGTTTTTTTCCCAATTTTGATTAGATTTTATGCTTTATAATTCAGCAAGTAAACTGTAAATTGTAACTAAACTGTGACTGTTGTAAATAAAAGATCAAAATGATTTTTCATTTGTAAATTTGTTTCGATAATCTAAAGTAGCTACATCATAACATCGACAGTACACCAGTCGAAACAACTTCGAGCAATATTGAGGATGTACGGAATACAATATTAAAACAGGTAGATATCAATAAAGTTTTTTCAATGTTTAAATTATAGCTATTTGTGATTGATTTATTCCAGTCGTTCCAATAACATAATTTTTAGCTAAATGGTCTTCTCTGATCAAACGTTAGACTATGTTTATGATTGGTTAAAAATATTTGACGGACTGAACAAACATAAAACTATAGTATTCATACAGTTATTCATAGTGGTAGTGGCATCTATGCTTATGGGCACTTTGCATAAATACTCAATGGTAATCGTTACTTAATGACACTTCAATAGACATATTTAAGAGGTTTTACCGATTTGAAACATTTAGAACTTCCCTATTATGTGGATGTTTAGAAAATTTAATTTAACGCACATTGATCAAACTAAATTTGAATATATCGAACGTATCAAAGAAAACAAAACGTCAGCAAATGTTATGAACACAAATTAAACAGTTAGTTCATCGATGAAAATGATTAACGACAAAAAATGAAATTAATCTCTTAAATGTTCAATAAAAGTTTAAAACATAGAGTCAGTTATCCTCTCATGCATCCTTTACAAACTGAGATGGCTCTTGTCTTTGTAGAGAGCCACGAGTAGTTTAATAAGGTTCGGTCTATAAAGAAGCAGCAACCTGAATGTTTCAAGCATACTTCTGCGACATTGTGTCTCGATCTTTTCTTTTGCACTGTTTGTTATTCGTCAATAAGAAAGTAAGATCTAATATGTATTCCGTGGATCCTTAATAATTCCTATTACAGTTTAACTATTGATAATTAATTACATTGAAGTGATTTAACAATTACACGATATTCAATCAATTTTCTCCTTGTGTCTAGTGTACATTTAACTGTTAATCACAGCCTTGTAATAAAGAAGTAAAGAGTGATAATCATAGTTTATAAAGTAAATATTTGTAAATTTGTAAAGTATTTTATAGTAATGAAATCGAGTATACTGTGCTGAATACTCGATAATGCTCCACTATGAATTTGTATTTAACAGATAAAACTCAATTTGATATTTGTAATTGTTGTAGAATATATGATTTGATCATAGTAGAGATCTAAAACTAACGTGAAGAAAAATTTTAGCTAAGTAGGATGTAAATTCTATTATGTTTTTAGATGGCTGCCTACTGTGTTTACAATTTTCTTCCACCTGTTTCATCTGATTTGGATTTGTTATTTCATGATTTTGAAAAAGAAACTTGTCATGATTATAAAACATTTGCAACATTATGGAAACATCATAAATTTGAATATTTTTTCAAGTAAGAAATTGTATTGCACTTTGGAAACCATCTAATTTCATCTTTCTTTTCTTTAATTAGAATAGCTGACATACAACCAAATTCATTCCGTTTTGTACGAATTATCAATAAACACTCCTCATTATGTCTCTTCTAGCTAATTCTCTTTCTAGTTTTTAGATGATTCGATGACTGTAGCTGCTGCTTATCTATGTGAACCATGGCGTTTACCAATTCGTATTGGTGCATTATATTGTTTATTTACACTATATATTAGTCAAATTGAAGAACCAAAAATAAAGGTAATTAAATGTGTTCCTTTTTGTAATTTTACTTTGATGTTAGTATATTCTACGTTTTTAGATTCGTTTGCCATTAGATTCATGGGATGATTTAATATCAATGATGGAAATTATTGATCAGACACAAAATGATGACAAAATTATGTTCTTAAAAATGATTGCTGATAATGCATTTTCAATATCGGCAACAAGACATGAAGTACGGTTTGATATTGATAATCTTGTGTGATTTAAAGGATCGTCGTACTAACAGGAAAGAATATTTTTATTCGATGTGTGGTAACAGTTGAAAACTTCACCCCTCTAACAACAAAGCTATACATAACTTATTGACCGATGTGTGTGTTAGAAGTATGGCAAGACAAATTTTTCTTTTTAATTAAACGCTGAAGGAAAAATACACACTTTTCCTTCCGAGTTAATGGAGCTTTTAGATGTTGATCATTCTTAATGTTTAAAAATTAAAATTCAGAATGTACTCTAGAAATGACTGCCAAAGAACGTTATTTCCACAAACTACTGAGGCTCACACTGTTTTTTCTACTTTAGTGTTTAAGAAAAATTTTACAATTCTTTGAAAAGCTTGATATTTTTGATTCTGTAACGTAACTTTAAAAACTTTGATCTTGACTTCAAAGATCCGAAATTTTATCTAGTTTTGTAATCGTACGTTTGATTTAGAATAAATCCTTGCTGTGAAAACGACATCCATGAAAAACTAAAAATGTATATTTTTTTGTATGTAATTCAAAAGGTTAAGTTAATTTACAGAGGTGAAAAAAAATTCAGGTTTTCACTCTGAATTGCATTAGTTTTAGTCTTCATCGTATGAAATTAATTTTATGTTTTGGATAGTATCAAATTTAGAATACTAGGATGGCTTTATTTCTGCATATATAAAGTTTAGCTTAAGAAAATGATAAACTATTACTTTCTGGTGTTGTCTCAGAAAAAGATAGTCAGAAAAGATAGCTGTGCGCAGTGTAATCAGCTGTGGCTATTTTGTGCTGTACAGTAAATAAACTATAACTTACTACTTGCAACACAAGATAGTTCATGTTTGTCATCAATTAAAATCTGTGTCGATTTTCTAGTATTTTAAAACTCTTGCAATATATCGAAAGATATTTAGGTTTTATATTTTGCAACTAAACATGCGCACGTACTCAAGGATGTACAAGCCCAAGTCCAGACTTGGAAATAGATCAACGTACTCTCTTCTAGTATTCTAATTTTTAGTTGAGATTCTTATGCAGAAGATTAAACAACTTCTGATCATAATACCATAAGACTTTTTTGGAGCATGTTTCTTTCCTGGGGATAGAAATGGAAATAGATAAAATATAGTTGTCATTTAGATGGGTCCTCGTTTTTTCATGAAAGTAATGCAAACTAAATCGTCAAAATATATGCGTTCTGAATCATTGTTATCCTCCCGTTTAAATGTTGATGAAAAACTCTTAAAAGTAAGCCTTGATGGAATTTATTCATTTTTATTTGTCTAATAAACTCATATACTGTTCCCTAGCTTTGTGAAGAAACACATGACTTGTACACAACAGCAAAAGACAGTTTATTAAGTACGATTGGTACGGCAGATGTACCAGATGAATTACAGTCCATACGCACGAATTTTATCGAGCAATTAAAAACGTAAGTAGTAATTGTACGAACAAAAAGTATTTACTATAACAATTATACATCTTTTAGTGGACTTGGATTGGATTCAACTCAAGTTGATGCGTCGACAATGCCAAAGGTATTTCCTTCGATATACGTCAGGGTAATATTTTCGGTATTCTATTTAGCGTCGATCATCTGTTGGTGAACGTCGAAGTAGAATTCGTGCAAAAGCCACAACAATAAACCTGAAGCAAGAAGAAGCATCGGATCTCGACGAAACATGCCTGAAACAACAAGAAGACAATAACAACCCGCACCAACATGAAACACAGCAAAAAAAACGCCGTCGTACCAGAAAAAAACGAAACAAATTCACAGAGCTATAAGAGCATTTTTTTCTGCCTATTTCCTTTAAATAGTTCTTTCTTCCTCAGAAAAACAATCTATGCTCAAAATCCCAAACAATCGTTCCAATAACTACCTACAAAACAACATCAGATTCAAATCAGGACCACAAAGACTGGTCGAATCGGCCACAAATTAAACCGGCGGCAAACCGATGATGAAGTAGAACAGATGTTGATCCAAATTGCGCAAGAATTCGTTGAAACGACGATATTGTCAACGTGTCAAAATGTCAAACATCGAAAATCGAATATTGTGGAAGCAAAAGATGTTCAGAACGTACATAATATGTGAACGTGGACGGTTATAGAAACGAAATGTCCGTGTTTTGTCCGTCCACAACAGTTGTGTAATTTTTTTTTGTTTTATACGTCAATAAATATATTGTGAAAAGGCAAAAACCCTCGTGCCAAAACTCATAGTGACAAAGAACATGGTTCCTCTCACTTTTGAATTCCTCTTTGATTAAGAGTCATTAGTAGTAGTTTACTAAGCCGCCATGTAAAAAGACGAGGCCGCTTGAATCTCCTTTACTCGAAACACGTCAGATGCTGTTATCTTGATAACCGATGAAAGGTCTTCCGCGAGGTTCATACCTAGAGTTATTGAGGATTTCGTTGGAGCCAGTCATATATTATGTAGTCAACTTGAACCCATCTTTTGATCACTCTGCTACTACAATAACCCCTTGCAGTGTTTATCACTACCTTACTTCAATCGAAACAATCCACCGAATCCTGCATCTTTCTACTGACCTGGGAAAGTTTTCGTTTCAGGGACCAAACGGACTACCAAGCGCTAGTGTCCGGCATTAGGATTGAATATTTTTGAAATATAAAACTGAGTTGGAATACCGAATATTTCTCGAGTTGCTTGGCTTCAAACTAAAAGTCAACGGGATTGGAAAAAACCAGAAAACAAACAGAAAATCGGGCTTTTTCCAATACCATTGACTTTTACTTTGAGGCCAAGCTAAATCAGATTTAAAAATGTGCTCTTTTAGTAAAGACTTTGATTCTCTATCAATAGTACAACTCGAGAAATATTCGGCATTACAACTCAGTTTTGTATCGTAAGAACACTCAATCCCAATGCCGGACAGTACCGACCGACCGCCAATAGCTGGCATTAACAGCAGGTAGGCTGTGTTTTTCTCCAATTATAGAGGAATGTTCTTAGTTTAATTCGTTTCAGATAAAGCAAGGAATGTCTTATAATTTAACATTGTGCATAATGTTTTTCAAAACCCGTACAAAGTAAAAATTCCTTATTAAAGCCAATGGTGATAGCTCAATGCAATATTTGTTAACGTTTTTCTTATGGATAAAAGCTCTGAACACTCCTCTATCGTCGAGAAAAAAATTAGCCCGATTGATTTAAGCACAGTAGAGATATTCAATTTTTTTATCGTATGTATATTTATGGGCCACCCTGTACTTCAGCACTCATTAACAATTGTGTTTCAGAAAAACACTACACAAGGGTGGGGTGATGTAGTGAAACTTAAACGCTGTGATATGAACTTTTCGAAAAATTCCGTTCGAAAGATAGTAATTATAGCACTATGGTAAAACTCTGTCTCTGTATTACAGTCGTCACTATCGACATTGGCACGACTATAAATGAGTCAGTCTGGCCGCTGATCACTTGTTTCAGAACTGTTCTTCTCTACCTACAACCGCTACAACGACAACAACAACAATCAGTAAGCCAAATGCTTTTGATTCATCTAAAATAAAGTAACAGTAAATGTATTGGTTATTTTTGTATTACTTTTGATCATGATGAAAAACAAATTTGCTAAATCTAGTATCATTCGATTGTTCTTCTTATTTTGTCTAGACTGATATTTCCCATTGCGATGAGCTCTTTTAAGAAGATTAGTTATGATATTCTTGCACTTTCTCATTCTATGATTAAAGAAAAGTCTAAGTAAATTTGATCATCATCTGCTCGTAGTCATTCACGTTGCAATTACCCCAATAATTAGTAATGCAGTCCTCGGATAGACGTTAGAAAACTGATTCTAGGCATCGACTCGAACTCGATTCGATGAATGCACTGGCATGCGGTACCTCATGACCTATCAGAGAAATAAAAGCATATTTAACCATTTGGTTTGAACGGAGAGTGAAAGGCGTTTGTAAATTATGTTTGGCTTCAATATACAATACATTAGATTCAAAAAAATGAATCATGAAAAACGAATTCTATTTTTCGCACTGAATATGTTGAACTTTAAGCAAGAAACTAATAGATATTGAGCGGCCAGTCAGCTGCTTCTTCCCCCTTTATGAAAATCCTTTCAAC